GGGGCGGCGGCGGGGGCGCGGGCTCGGCGGCGGCGTCCAGGCCCAGCGGGCGCGCCGACGGCAGGCTGCCCGGCGGGCTGCCCCCGCTCGACAGGCTGCTGCTGCTGCTGTCGGGGCTCTCGATCTTGGGCACCGCGGAGGCGGCGCCGCCGCTGCCCAGGGCGGCGGCGGGGGACAGGGGCCGGGGCGGCGAGGGGCACGTACCGTTCTCCGTCTTGATGTCCTGGATGCGCACGGGCGGCGCCTGCGGCCCGGAGGCCGAGCCCTCCGCCTGCTCCGGGGGCGCGGGCGCCGGCTGGCGGGCGGCGGGAGGCGGCGGCGGCGGCGGCTCCTGGAGGTGCAGCCGGCCCTTCTCCTCCTTGTCCTTCACGGCGTCCTTCTTCTTGAAGCGCCGCCGCCGCCGCAGGAAGCTGCCGTTCTCGAACATGTTGTAGGAGTCCGGGTCGAGCGTCCAGTAGCTGCCCTTGCCCGGCTTCTTGTCGTCGCGGGGCACCTTGACGAAGCACTCGTTGAGCGAGAGGTTGTGGCGGATGCTGTTCTGCCAGCCCTGCTTATTGTCCCGGTAGAAGGGGAAGCGGTCCATGATGAACTGGTAGATGCCGTTCAGGGTGATCTTCTTGTCCGGGGCGTTCTGGATGGCCATGGTGATGAGGGCGATGTAGCTGTAGGGAGGCTTCACCATGTCCTTGGGCTGCGGCTGCGGCGTGTAGGGCCCGTAGGCGCGCGCCATGCCGCCCGGGTACTGCTCGGCGTGAGCCGGGTGGGAGTACACGCTCATCGGGGCCGGCATGGCGGTGTAGCCGCCCCCGGCCGCCGCCGCGGCCGCGCGGTAGTAGCTCTGCTCGCCGCCGAGGTAGGGCACCACTCCCAGGGAGTTGGGGCTGGACACGGAGTAGCGCGCCTGCATGGCCCCGGCTCGCCGCCCGCCAGGCGCCGCCCGCCCGCCGACCCCCTTCGCCCTCGCTCGGGCCCGGGCCGCCGCCGAGTCGTCCGAGGAGTCCGGGCCTCGCCGAGCCGAGCCGCTCCTGTCCGGGCCGCGGCCGCTGCCTCCTGGAGCCCGGAGGGTTGGGGAGGTGCGGGGGGAGCGGCCCCGCTCGGCCTCTCCTCCCCGCGCTCGCCCGGCGCCTCGCACTCCTCCTCCCCGCCCCCCTCCTCGCTTCCCGCGCGCCCGGCGAGAGGGAGGGCGTCCGCACCGGGAGAGGGCCGGACGGGGATGCGGAGGGTCGCCTCGGAGGAACGCTCAGAGCGACTTGAGGGCGCAGCCGGAGCGAAAAAGAGACGAAAGTTTAAAAAAAAAAAAAAAAACAAAAAAAAAAAAAAAAAAAAAAAAAAAAAAAAAAAAAAAAAAACAAGAAGGCGCCCCGCTCGCCACACTGCCTGCGCCTTCCAGGAGACACTGCTCGGGGCTGCTGGCGAAGGCGGCCAAATAACCAGGGGCGGGGGCAGCGCGCCGGCCGCCTTCCCGGGCCCCCGCGTCACCTCTCCCCGGTCCCTTGCGCCGGCCGCTTAAGGAAGCATTGGGAAAAACTTCTGAACTTTTGAGCATCCGTCACCCAGGCGAGGACTTTTTTACGCAGTTACTTTTTTTTTTTTCCGGGCGGCGGAGCCCCGCCCCGCCACCGAGGCGGCAGCCAATGGGAGGCCGGGGCCGCCCGTGAATGAGCCGGAGGCCGGGCCCTGCCGGCCCGCTCCCGGCGGCCGGAGGACCGCGGGGCTGACCACACGCGCGCCGGCTGCCCGGGGCCCCGGCGCCCGCGCCCCTGCCCGCGGCCCGCCTCGCCCGCCCGGCTCCACGGCCAGGCGCTGCCGCTCGCCGCCTGCCGCCCTCGGGGACTCTCCCGGCTCCTGCAGACTCTCCCCGTCCTCGCTGGCCCCGGCGCCCTCCCCGTGTCCAGCGGTCCCAGGCCTCTCCTCGCCTGGCATCCGCCTCGACCCTTTAGTCTACCCGGCTGGCTCCGGCGCCGGGCTCTCTCCGGCCTAACCAACCCTCCTTCTGTCCCTTGGCCTCTCTTTTCCGAACATCCCTCTTCCCTGCTACCCCACCCCAGCCCTTCTCCGGCCGCAGGTTCTGCAGCCCGGCTCTAGGTTGCCAGGGCTCAGTCACAAGGGTTCCAGTGAGGGAGAAGGTTGCGTTTCGGTGCCTCGTCCCACTCTCTAGTCGCCGTCGGCGGAGGGAGAGTGACCTGGAACTTCAGGCGTTTGTTAAGCTGGTGGACAGTGTAGGCCACGTTGGGGAGCACGGGGTTCAGGGACGTCCCAGGGCTCAAGGGAGCGGGATAAGGGGACTCCAAAAGCCTCGTCGACAAACCGCGAGCTCGGCCCCTCTGTCCTGCCCAGCACCTTTTGGTTCAAAGGGCAAGTTAGGTTCCAAGGGGCCCGGGTGAAATTAGTAGTTGTGATGATGAAAACAGCCAGATAAATCTGTCCAAGCGCTTAAGGTTTCCCCAAGCCACTCTCCACCTCTGCCAGTCCTGGGGCAGCTGTCGTAGAGACAGAGTCTGTGTTGGAGGAAGTGTGGAGAACTCCACCTAGCAGGAGGCTCAGAGATTCTGACGAGATCAAACCCCGAATGAGTCTTGATATTGGTGACACACCTAAAGTCTGCGGCCTCTGGGTGACTAGAATGGGGCTGGGAGTGATGAGTGGAAAAAATGGAGTTGCTGAGGGGACGGGCCTCTCTCTCTCTCTCTCCTCTCTCTGACTGCAAAGCGACCGTGCATTTCAGCAACTGGTCCAGAAAAAATTCGGGCACAGAGCGGACACGACCGGGTAGAGGCTGGGGTGGGGGGGAGGGAGATGATGGGTGTGAGAGCCTGTGGAGACGGGATTGTAACCCACTTTACACCCCGGGTTCCTCTGATTTCTGTTCCTCTTTAACTCTAGGGCTTGTTGGGAGTCCCTTCTGGCTTGCGGGCTTGAATCCCCCTTCCCTCACTACACACACACACACAATTGCAGCTCCCCTTGGTAGATAAGGATGCTGATTTATGAGTTAGCACAGCTGTGTTGCTTGTACACACATACATACATACATACATACGTATATACACATGTAATTTCAAAAGGGGCATTTATATCAAAGGAAGAGGAAGACCTGAGTATCTAGAATTCTTCCCCCCTCTTTCACACACACACACACACACACACACACACACACACACACACACACGGAGGCAGTTGCCTCCCAGCCTCTAGCACAACTTGGGCTCATTTGAGACCTTATCCCGGGATGTTTGCAAACCAAGACACTGTTGGATTGGTACAAGTACTAGATTCATCTGCGGAAGGGTCAGTGGTTGGTTCCTGAAGATGTGGTGAGAGTACAGCGTGAGTCCCAAAGCCTGAGAAAATAAACCCGTGTTGCCTCTTCGCCCCTGGCCCCAGCAGCCCTGGCCACTGTGACTTTAAGTCCTGGGTCCGGCTCAAGCTGGGTCACAATTAAAAAGGGATCCTCTTCTACACCTTGGCGTTTGGTTTTTAAACCCAGCGTGCGACCAGCTGTGCTGGAGGGTGATCGCGGCTCTCAGCAACTTCGCAGCTTTTAGCAACTTGTTTTCCGAAAGTGGGGTTTCCACATTCCAGCGGGCGGGCTTTGGCAATAGACAATGTGCCGGGCTCCCCCCCCCCCCGCCCGGCCCCCGGCCCCTGGTTGCTCCCCAACCCCCAACCCGGAGAAGTGTAAACAGTTTGTTCTGTAAACAGCAAACCCAACAGCAGAGGTGTCTTCTATTGCCCTCCCGGCGGGCTTTGGGTATAAAAAAATTGCCATTGTGAAATTCGTATTTGGCATGCGGGAGGGGGGGGGTGTTCAGTTTTACAAAGATCAACTTTCCATGGTTTGGCTCTGGATAATCGCCAGGAAAAGATATTTGCATTTGGTTTTTATATGCTTCCTCGGAAGCAAACCTCCAGTGAACGGTCTGATTGTATTTCAAGCACTCGCTCTTTTATTATTGTCGTTCCCGGCTGTTGTTTGGGTGTTAAGATGCAGTCTTTGGTGGTGGTGTTGGGGTGAGGGTGGGGGTTACAAGCTAAAGTTTGCATTTTCGTATTGAAAGTTTTGGGTGACCCCTTTTCTGTTGTTCCAAGGGTAAGCACTCTGCCGCCTCCCCTACCAACCCGTGACTGGATGGGGAGAAATACCGCGGGACCCCTCGGGCATCTTTTCTGACACCTTGGGTACTGGCAGCCTGAAAGTCCCCGCAGGCGACAGCGGTAATGAATGTTTGGTGAAATGGTGGCTGGGCGCAGCCGACCTTCATTCCCTGCCCTGACCCTCCCAGAGAGGTTACCGTTCCCCGGGCCCACCGAAGGGATCTTAACTTTGAGAAGGGGGCATGACGTCACGGTAACGGTTTAAAAAACAAAAAACAAAACAAAACAAAACAAAACAACAACAACAACAACAAAAAAAAACCCAAAAACCGAGGCCTCCGAGGGCCCCTCCTGCACAAAAGCACAGGGAACCGGGATGTGGCCAGAGCTCCTGGAATGCCCGGACTGGGGACGTGGTGACACCACAGGAATGGGGAGTGGGGCCAGCAACACCGAGGCGGGTCACCAGAACCTGGGAAAGCGATTTTCCATCCCCTAGTTGAGGGGGTAAGGGTTGGACTGGGCGCCCGTGGCTGACGTCCACTCCTGCAGGGTGAAGTGGATCCACTAGTGTCCCCTGTGAGTGAGTTACCCTCAAGGCCCGGTTCAGCCCAGGCCTAGGATTCCTCTGTCCGGTTCACTCTCTCGGTTCGGAGTTTGGTCCTGGAGGCCCGGGCGTTGGTGTGGAGGGTCGGGACTAGCCTGGGAGTGGAGGGGAGTGAACCCAGCACGACTTCGCAAGGCGCTGGGGTGGGTGAAGGCGCCCCCACCCCCCACCCCCCCACCCCCCGCTGGAAAACGAAGCGGAGCCTCGACAGTTGTCCCAGCAATGCGTGTGGGTTACTTCTCCTGAGGCTGCCCCGACAGAGCAGCAGGGCAGAGTCCGTTCGGGGGGTGTCTTTCAAGTATTCGGAGAATTCCCTCCGTTCTCCATTTGGCCTCCTCTCCCCTCCCGAAGCCCGTGGGAGGGGAGGAAGTCCTGGGGTCAGAGCCCGTTATTCGTTATCAAGCCGTCAGGCTGCACGGAGAGTTTGCCATCTGGGTGACTCTTCACCGGAGGGCGGAGGCAACGAGAGGTTTTGTGTGTGTGTGTGTGTGTGTGTGTGTGTGTGTGTGTGTGTGTGTGTGCACAAGCGCCTGGGTGGCTGCCTCTTCGGGCCCCCGATCGAATTTTTCTTGACGAGGCTTGACATCACAACGTTCGTAAAGAGTTTCCTCCAACTCGACGCCTTCCTTAAATAATTCCTACAAAAAGAAAAAAGAAAAAACGAAAACAGCGTTTGTCTCCTGAATACCTCAAACACGAAATGATCACCTCGCGCGTCTGTGTGGCTGGATTAATCGGAAGGTGTAGACGTGGCCCTCCGCGGGGAGTCTGTATGAGATAATTTAACGTCGTCTCCCTGCTCCTCGAGGTTGGCCTTCTCGGCCTCTCTAATTGCTTACAGGGACGGAGAGGCCCGACACCTGCTCTCTAACCCCTGGGGTGGGCCCGTTTGTCACCCCTCCGCGGGAAGGCGCCTCTCCTGCAGATAGGTCCCCGGGTTCAGAAGGGAGCGGAGCCAGGAGGGGGTCGCAAAGCATGGGAGAAATGAATCTTTAACTTGGGAGCCTGCTCTCCAGAGACTTCGGCCTTTTTCGGGGAAGAGGTGGAACTGTCCCCTTTTAAAAAAAATAAAATAAAAAGAATAAGAATAAAAACTGTGAAGAGGCGGGCGATGGGGAAAGGGAGGGTTGTGTGTGTCTGTGTATGCCCGTGATCCGGATTCCCAAAAGACAGTGGCAGCCAACCTGAGGGCCTGGGAAGGCAGAGGACCTCTCATTCCCCAGCCTCCGCAC